TAAAAAGTAAACATATTTTCCGTTTTAAAGAGCAAAACTCTCATAGAGTAAAAAAATAACACAAATGTATACAAAATATAAAAACTCCATATGGAAGATTTTTTTTCGGGACACTGGACCACCCTGTATACCTTTATAAATGTCTGGCGTATAAGTTTATCAAAACAGCAAAATGAAATATGTATGGAAAGTATCGGAAGAGGAAAAACATCAAGAGTTATTTTTGGGATACATTTCTGTCGGGTCCACACTGACACTGGCGAATTTTTCATGCGAGACGCCGATCTGTCTGCAGCATTGCGATTTTCCTTAAGAGTGAAAGGCATAAAATTCAATATACGGTCTCGAGAAATAGGTTAGTAATAAAGCACAGACGGGTTTTTAAATAAAATCGGAATATTTATGAGGTATAGGTCGTAAAGGCTTTTGAAATATTCAGTAGTGAAATGAAACTATGTAAATTATATATTGTCTTTAAAGAGAGAAACAACTTGAACAACTATGAGGTTGTTCTTCTCAATACTACTATTAATAGGGAGACTAATTTTTGACAGTGACGTCGTAGCTCTATTTTTTAACGACTTCTGAAAATTTCATTAAACTCTGTCAAACGACTATCTTTATTCATTCTATCAATTACAACTAGATGTAATAACTACTTTCAAATATTGCGACTATAGTCTGTCCAACGAAAAGATCCTTGACAGTGATAGATGTGTCCGTCATTTTAATTTCAAAGTAGTTTATTTTATTTTACGAAGAAATAAGTTGGTACAACTGGAACGCATAGCAGGAAATTAATATATGTATTTAAAATTTGACGGACAAGTAACTTTAAAATATTGTGAAAAAAACTGTATAAAACTGAAAAAATGTAATCGAGTTATTTTATTTAATAAAAAACGGTATGTGTTAATACAAAACAAACAAAAATAAGACACAACATACCAAAAAATATTATGATTATATTTATCAATATAAATTATGTACAAATACAAATTTGTAATATTCCGCAGGAATAAATAAAACAACATAAATAAAACAAACTATTTTATTAATAATAACACTTACCAAATTTTATACCTCACAGGTTGATTAATTAACTTAAATCTTAAGTTTTTTAAACCACTACCTTTTGGCATTATTTTTCTGCAGTACTAAAATCCATTATTTACCTATCGTGTGATGTCGATATTTTACAGCTGCTCCAGTTTTTAGTATGTGTTTAGTTGGTCCTTCTACCATATTCGAGATGCACTTATCTACGACGAGATGGTATACGAACTTTATTGATAGTAACTTTATTGGTGTATCTGTATAAGACTTTCTGCCTGGGCAGCGAGTATTAACCATAAACTGTGCTCTGGGTTCTACAGTTAATTTACACTCGATTTTTCCTCCACTTGACTTCAAAAGACACAAAACACACGTAATAACACGAATCAAAATGCATCATCTTCCAACTTCCAAAACGCAGGGTATTTGACAAAAGTTGTCACAAAATTATAACCTATAATTTGGGAAGACTTTGACTAACGTCAAAAATCTAAAGGCGAGTTCAAACGTATCGGCGCCGGCGTCCGTTTGTCGTACATCGTTCCGTCAAACCAATAAAATTGAAATACGATCTGTCATTTTTAAAATAAATCAATAAAACTGGTTAAAAACAAAAGTGACGACGCATGACGAATTTATATTTAAACCCATCTATAGTTAACTTAAAAATTATTAGAAACTTTTTTTAGTAAAATAAATAGATTGGTATGGGACGTCATCTGCTTTTCTTCTGTCGAAATCTTACCTGAGAAAAAAAACAGAGTATAGGTGCTATAATAAATACTACACTTCATATTAATAAAATTCGAATTTTATTCGGACGAAGTCGCAAGAAAAAACTACACTCAGATGCAAAAAAACGGTGAAACGGAGAAATTTTTGGTAAAATTTAAAGTGTTATATTTTTGTTATTTTTACCCCTATTTTCATGAATTTTTTATCAACCTGTACATAATTATATCAACTTTAATTTGTAAACTCAGTTTTTTATAAACTTTAATATTTGGCATATTATACAGGGTTAATCGAGGAGTTATTTTTTTACCTTAACTTTAAAACACTCTGTGCAATAATTTCGTTAGCAAATTTTCCGAAAACATTATTTTCGGTCAGAACCATGTCTACTGTATATTCTGTTTTTTGGATCATGTCAATATATATCTTGGTTATTTTTTAAGAGCAAAATGAACTTGACACCAACAATTTGCAATTTTTTCATTTATAATTTTTTTTTGAAGTTATTTTTGAACATGACAAGCCGGCTTTGGTGATTATTGTGAACTGTATACTATTAAGAACTGCCCATCATGTTCGACGTTTGGAACATGCTTGGCAGGAGGGTTAGAGGTCGCGAAGCGGTACCAGCATTATTAAATGAACTTCGCTTGGTTACTAAAGAAGAATGGGAAAGCATAACGCAATAATATGATATATGCAGCCTCAATGACAGTATGAACGGATGTATACAGGCAGTTATAGCAGCCAAGGGAAGCAATGCAATGTATTAGGTTATTTTTTACAATTCTTTTTTTCTGTTTGTAATGCAATCTAATGTTGAAAACCAGGACTGTATCTTTAGTATCGTTACCGTTTTTAGCCGACCATACCAATAGGTATGGGAGGCTATTAAGATCGACAAAAAAAAATAACTTCACTCAAAATGAGTTATTTGGGTCATAAATGACCTAAATACAAAATATTTTTCGTGCCTGTCTGTCTATCTGTCTCTCTGTCCGTCTATAACGCGATAACTCAAAAACCGCTAAACCGATTTTAACCAAATTTGGCACTAAAATACTGTGGCACTCGAGAATCTGGCCATTAGTTTTTGGTGGGGGTGGGGGGTTGGGAAGGGGGTATGAGAGGGGGTTAAAAATTTAAAAAAATCGTAACTTCAAAATGACAGTAGCTAGCGAAACGCGGTTTTCAATTTAAGATTAAGAATAATATTTGCAACAAAATTTGTAATAACATCAAAATCAGTCAAAGCCGCAGTTTTTGAGATAAAAAAATTGGCGCCGGTAGGCACGTATAGCCGCCCATACTAAAATATGTTAATATCTCGAAAACTGCGACTTTAACTGATTTTAATGCTATTACAAATTTTGTTGCAAATATTATTCCTAATCTTAATTTGGAAACCGCGTTTCGCTAGCTGCTGTAATTTTGGAGTTACGATTTTTTTTAAATTTTTAACCCCCTCCTATACAACTTACCAACCCCCACCCCCACCAAAAACTAATGGCCAGATTCTCGGGTGCCACAGTATTTTTGTGCCAAATTTGGTTAAAATCGGTTCAGAGGTTTTTGAGTTATCGTGTTACAGACGGCAGACAGACCGACAGACAGACACCACGAAAATATTTTGTGTTTAGGTCATTTATGACCCAAATAACTCATTTTGAGTGAAATTAAAAAACTTTTTTTTGCCGATCCTAATAGCCTACCATACCTATTGGTATGGATGGCTAAAAAAATGAAAAAAATCATTTACTTTAAAACTAAAAGAACTGCCTACCAACTTTTTATTAACATTTTTTAGTATGGGCGGCTATACGTGCCTCCCGGCGCCAATTTTTAAATTTTGCTTTACCATTTTATATTTTGAAAAAATATGGAGTGAAATAGGAGTGAAAATCTCAAATAGGAAAACTTTTTAAAGAACTTTTTTATAAAATGTGTCACCCTATATTCTACGTAGTCTTTATTTACGTAACAAGAAATTTGTTTCCGATTAAAGAGCAGCACATTACGTTTGATTAACATCAAAGCAGTTTTCTTTATTACAAGGTTTATTCTACATAATGAAGGTAATTAATACCACTTTAAGCCAGTTTCACGACAAATTTCTCTGTTAATAAATAAAAGACAGCTCTTTGTGGAAGCCTTAAAGCTTTATTTGTAAGATATTGAGAGCCGTTTTGGAACTTTAATAGCCAGGACCGTCTTAATGATTAAAAGAAATGTTTTGAAATTTAAATTGGTGCAAGTCTCTTTATCAGAGACTATTATAATATTTTCGAAAATAGTTCAACATTTTTTCTGTATATCTCAGAAACAAATTTTAAGCATGTTATACAGGCCGAGTCTTAAATAAGTGCAAATATTTTCATTGTTGGTAGATCTATTTTGAGAGTATCTATTTTTCATTGGTAAATTTTGAAAACCACACTGTTTTTTTCTGACTTTTCGTCCAAATCACTTGTTAGGATATTACCAAGTTGTTAGATTTTTTAATTGAAAAATAAAAAAAATCCAAAAATTCTAAATTTTTGACATTTTTTTTCTCAAAGATTTTACTTATTCTTTACTATATTTTATACTTTACTTCACTAATTTAAGACTCCAAATGGGCACGTATGATTATTTTTAAAATCATAAAAAATGCGCTAGTGTAACAACCCAAATTCGTCAACAAAGTTTAAGAGGTAATATTTTTGGCCAACTGTATAACAAACAATTTAAATGAAAGAAAGGAACCTACGTTGTGTTAATTTTTTTTTATTGTGATTACCTCGGATGCGCCTCGACAGAAGCAATATTTTGGGAAGTTTGAGGAGAATAGGTTATGTAAATAAAACGCTAAATTTGTAAATAGCCCTACTTATTTTATTAAATGAAATGAAAAGAGTGCCGTACTCTGCCTGGAATTCACATGTAAAAGAGCATGACAGAGAAAACCATGATCAGTATTCCAGAGACTCTAACTATGCTGTCCTTAACTTTAATAAAAGAGAAATAATAATAATATAGAAGCTGTCCTCATAACCAGGTTTGTAGTTTTATACATTCAAAACATGCCACATTTATATCATTCAAAACTGAAGAGTGTTTGGTTAGCTAGCAGGTCGCCGCCTGCAGGTACTAAGGTCCTGGTTTCGGATCTCGAAGCTAAAGTTGGATGTTTGGTGTAAATATCTTAATATTATATTTATTGCTTTTAGTTGCCCTCTGCGAGCTAAGATATTTATCCCAGTCACGGTCGAAAAGTATTAGTACATTCAACAAGGCCCTTGTTCTCACCTCGAACCACAAACATCAACACGACTGGACAGTACATTATTGTATTTAGATTACTTTTAAACTGAAATTATTTACAGCATAAATAGATTCCATTAAATGCATACACATGTAATTCATAATGATTTAAGATGATAATTAAGATAATTCTCAGATGAAATAAATAAGGAAAAAGTTTAATACAGAATATTAGAACAGAAAAATAAAATATATGCTTTAGTTAACATTAGTTAAATAATGAGAAAATATTTACTTTACCTTTTCTAACATTCTTTGTCACAAAACTCAGGAACCAAAATAAATCAATGCGTCTCCAATGGTAGTCTAAAAGCTAATCCTCTTATAACTATCATCTCTGGTCGTCGCCTGATTTCCCTCTCCCTACTTTTGCGAATCATATTTTAAAAATCAATAATTTTATTTATGTATACAGATTGTCTTAAAAATGAATGTTTTGAATTTAAAGAAATATGTCTATTTTTAAATAGGCGGTTCATCTCACTAATAAACTTTTAATGTATAAGTTGTCCCATAGTCCCATTCCATTTTTTGTAATGGGTTTTAAAACTTGACTAAAATATCCTTTAATTTGATTTTCTAATGTCTAAAAACAGGAAAGTTACCTACCCATGCATCATACGGTATTTATTATTATAAATTACCTATGTCCTTTTAAATTGATACAAAATAAAATGCTATTATTGTGCATACATATATTATTTTGAATTAACGAAAAAAAAATAAAATAGCGTATTTTACTACTGTATGATTTTCCGAAAATAGGTTATCTGTGATTAAACTAAAGTAATTTTTAATGTAACATTTACGTCTTATTGACAAATTATTTATCTGCTAATAAATTAAAAGGTTTCCTCTGTTATTCCACTGTAATTATGTATACCTAACTAATATTTTTAAATCTCTAGCACAATGTTAAAAACATTCTAAATAAAGTTATTTATACTTTTTTTGTATATAATATTTATATTTATTGTAACTTTAAAAAACTTTAAAAAATATTAACTTAAAATTCCTTAAAACATCTACATTAGTAGGTAATTGACAAATCTTGTGTATTATGTAATAAAGTAAAAAAGAAGAAAACATTGGACCAATGTCTACTATATCAGTCATGACCTATGCAGGCGAAACCTAGACACTTAAAACGGACATTATAAGGAAACTGCAGGTCTCACAACGTCCAATGCAATGGTACGAACTATGCTATGAACAAAAGACTCAGGTAATAGATGTTATCCACAGAATCATATCCCTCAAGTGGCAACCCTAGGGCAGGACCATGGCAAGAAGGATGGACAACTAACAGATGGACCACAAAAATAATAGCATGGTACGCACGAGGAATTAAGAGACCTAGAGGGAGGCCAAACTTGAGATGGGACCATGATATTAGGAAATTAGCAGGGATAACTTGGGCTCGCATAGTCAACAATAGATAACAATGTGCCAAACCAAACTAAACTAAAAAGAGAGTATCTAAATATGTGAGGGAGGCTACACTATAATTGGAAACGGTTGAATACCTAAGCTGAGAATGATGATGATGATGACAAATCTTGAAATTACTTGAAATTGGGAAGATTAATCATTTATGTTTTGGATGATAGTTTTTCCTGGATTAATCCTTAATCTAGTTTTATTAAAACTGTCTAACATTCATGTAAATATTACTTCTCTTTTTTCATACTTCTCGCAAATGTAAATTTTGCTCTCTATCATTCGAAGTAATTTTGGTGAGCAACCCCGTATAAATACCATATTTTTCATTCTAAAAAAATATGTTAAAAAAGTTATTCAATAAAATTATTGGAACTATCGACATTACTTTTAGACATTCTTAGTCTTATAGTCTGAATATTTTAAATACATCTCTGCTTTCCTGCGAGACGAAGAACATAATAGAGTTAACGAAGCAGAAAAATTGATTATCTTTTGAGTCGAAGGCTTTAATAGTGGGGCCTTTTAAGAAATTTTACTTTTTAATTTAAATAAACGTTTATGCGAGCTATTTTTAATGGGTAGCTTTTTACGTTTTAAGTTTATAATGAAAGATACTTTAAAAGTTAACTGAAAAGTAATCAGTGGTTTAGTAGAAAGTACTTACTGTTTGAATAATAGATTATACTTGAGAAGTGAGTCTCGAGTAATTGTATTACGAAGTTATATATTTAAAAAAATACTAATGTTAATTTAAATGAGTCTCTCAGGTACCGGTCAAATCTGAAATTTGAATAATAAACGGCCAAATTACTAAGAATTTTATTTAAAAAATGTTACAATTGTCAGCCAACTAGGTAATTTTTTGCCATGTTTAACCAAAAGCAATCATTGTCTTTCCAGATATAGAGAAGAGAAGACAGAGGTAGACAAGGCTGTTATGTCCGAGGGTTATATTTCTCCTAAGTCTGATAGGTCTCGCATGGTTTTCCCAAACACCTCAAACCTGGTCCTGCTTCCAGCGGACCACCAGTTCCAGTCTTCCACCATCCCATCCTCAGTAGGTGTGATCTCAGCCGGCAGTGACCCGTGTATACTTCTACGCGCTCTATTCCTGCCGGCCGTTAAAAGTTCTCCTGTTCTGCGTTTGGATGGCCCTGCTAGAATTTTTTTGGCATATTCCATTCAGGGACTGTCATTACAGTCCCTAAACGTCCCACCTCTAACCCATTCACAGAGCCTGTCTCTTGCGAGTTTTTTTGGAACGCATACACTTGGGCCCACGAATGGCGAACTGGACCTGTTTTGACGAGGAAATCAGCACGTTTGTTTCCCTCTAGGCCGATATGTCCCGGTATCCATATTACCGGTCATAATATGCATTTAATTTATTTCATCATTTCTATAAAGTTTTTCTTTGTAAATGCACAATTTAAATTTGTTTTCTTTAAAAATTAGCCCCAGATAAAATTGCTATGTTCAAATTTTTAAAGCTGAAATTACCTACTCTGATCCAGATTAGACTAATATTTTTCTATTATATATAATGTCTTGCTAACGATATTACTAGAACATTGCACCAATTTAAACTTTTATCAAGGCATCCCTAGACACCATTTACATAGATGGTTCAACCGTTACCGATTATCATTAGCGTAGTGTAATTTTCAAGATAACAATTATGTGTCATAATTTGAAACCGCAATATCTATTTTAAAACTTCACGGTTCTCGAGTATAGTACCTACGTATTTAGTATAATCATTAGGGTTTAATAAAGTTTCTAATAAAAAATAAATGTTTAAGATAAAACTTAATTTTTAATTCAAAATTACTCTTTAAGTAAAAGGAAAAAGTTTAGTTTCTTAAGACGTGAAAGTATGCATTTTGTTAAAGATAAGAAAGTTAACCATTTTTATAGCTATTCCTGTTTTATCTCATAGAAGAGACCTGAAGTGCGATCTTTGTTACGTAATATTTTATCCAAAATTAGTTATTATTAATTTGATGGGAGTTAAAGTGTGCCAGATTTCTTGTACTATGTACTGAACCGTAGGTAGGAATTTTCTGTTTAGCCAGAAAATTGAATTCATAACTTTTTTTTGGTTTCTCAAAAACGCTACCTACAGCGCACCTAAAAAAATCTCAATACGATCAAAAAATGTTATAACGATCCTCAGTTCGAGTGAGCATATCTGCAAAGATAACTTGCAGTACCCTATCGACCGTCATTGATTTCATTAAAATTGCATACACATTGTGGGAATGAATGCAAAATATCTCGTAAAAAGTAAAACGAAAAAAAAGTTACACATCAATTTGATAGGTTTTTTACTCGGGTTCTCTTTACTTTTAAAAACTTTGCGACAGTAAAATAAATGGTTTTGCCCTGAAAAATGCAAAAACTGCGTTTGAGTGACTTTAGCGCCCTCTAACTTTGTCCCCGTAGGTTTTAGAAGATCACCCTTTTCACCCTTTTGGAATTTGAGGTTCGAGAAACCCCTCCTTATCGAACCTCTACACCACACAGTCAATCCGTTTGCCAAAAATCAGCTTTAAACGTCAAGCAGTTTAAGCAGAATCGTGATTACTCAATGGTCATATTTTATGAAACACCCTGTATAAATTTATAAAAAAAATTTAAAATATGTAAGACAACAAAATAAAATATACGTGTTTAAGAGTTTTTCCAAAAAACTCACCGGTTTTTAAATAAAAAATATTTTAATATTTGAGGGATAGTTGCACCCCCTTAAAATTCGAGTTTCGAAAAATCCCTTCTGATCGAACCTCTACACCCTGAAGTCAATCTGTTTTCCAAAAATCAGGTTTTTACGTCAAACGCTTTAACCAGGATCGTGATTAATCAATGACCAGATTTTTCGAAACACCCTGTACACATTTTTAAAAAATCTTAAAATATGTAAAAAAACAAAATAAAATATACGTGTTTAGGCGTTTTTCGGAAATTTGACCGTTTTTTAAATAAAAAATATTGTAATATTTGAGGGGTGGTTTCACCTTCTTGGAACTGGAATTTCGAAAAATCCCTTCTTATCGAACCTCTACACCCTAGAATCAACCTGTATGCCAAAATTTATGCTATTCTGGCGTTGAGTGGTTTGAGCAGGATAGTGATTAATCATATGTCAGTCACTTAAGGATTCTATATATTAGTATAGATATGTTAAAGATGTTAAATGAATAAATAATCTCTGGGCTCCTCAGAAGACACCCGATAAGCATGGAGGAAGCTGAGTTATTTGCTCAACATTTTTTATTTAGAATCGGAGAAGATACCCTAGAGGATAAATTATTGTTAATATTTCTTTTAACCTCTTTATTGGTACTGGTTTCTTTAATGGGTTTTATGTAGGTTTTAGATATTTATCTTAGATAGGAATTATCGAAAACAGGAATTAACTATCTTATCTGATAGTCAAGCAGCACTAACAGCACAATCAGCTCACTAACCATCAATTCGG